GCCCCCCGCCCCAGGGGGTTCCGCCGGGTCTGGCCTAGCCCAGGCCTCCCCCTTCCCTCTCCGGCTCCGCCCCGCCCGCCTGCTTCCCCGGCCGGGCCGGGCCTCACCAGGGAGGAGTCGCAGCCGGCTAGGTGCTGGGGTTCGGAGCTCCCCTCCTCGGTGGGGCCGTAGCTACCGCTACCGCCGCTGCTGCTCCGGATACCAGTACCGCAGCCGCCGCCGTCGCCTCCACCACTCGGGAGACACTGTCCCTTTAAATTGCTCGCCCCCCCCCGCCGCCCCGCCCCCCCGGCGCGCCGCGGTGACCTCAGCGCGACAGCCCTGCCGAGCCGCCATGATGAGGAGGTCTGCCCCCCTCCCCACCCCTGGAGGGGGCGGTGTCCAGCGGGCTCGCGGCCATATTGGGAGTGGCCAAGCAGTTACCCTTAAAGGGCCCGCGCAACCTGAGCGCCCAGGGAGAGGCTATGTTACTATGACAACACCCTTGTCCTTCTGCCATCACCCTGCTGGTTCTTCCCATAGTAGGTTCGCTATTAACACCAGATGAGTAGGAAGGAAGCAGAGACGTTTCCCCCTGGGTCATTCATAGGTCACTGAGGACGCCATCTAGTCAATCCATATCTTTGCCCGTCAGACATGTTCTATCCATAAGCTCACTGTTCCTTTCTTTTCCCCTATAATTACTTTATGTCCCCAATGCTAAGCTCCCCTTCTCCACCTAGTCACCATATCACAGCCATCATTCATCCAAAGCTGGTTGCTTTCTCTTATTCATCACCCATTTGTCTCCCAGCATTCATCCACATGCTCAATTGATCAACCACTCAACTACACATCTAATCAACAAATCACCTATCCATTCATCCCTCTCAACACCTATTCATCTATACAAGCACTCATTTAATTTATCCACCCAAAACCCATGTTCTTGCCCATCCATTCACCAGCCAAATAGCTATCTACACAACCAAGCAAGTATTCAATAATCCCTACCAACATCCTTCCACCAAGCCACCCACGTAGCCATTCAATTGCATGTTTCTCTTCTCTAAGTGAAGATAGGGGTTTATGTCTATCTACTCTATTGTTTTCCTATGGCTCACTCAGTTCAGAGTCCTAGACCTCAGTAAATGTGATAGAAGCATATGATTGCTTAGTCAGTTCAAATATTTATTTCCTACTATGAGTCAGGCCTTCTCTAGGTAGACCTATCTATCCATTGTGATTAGCAATTTGTGTTAAACATCTACCAAGCCAATCATTCAGTGAACGCTAACCTAGTCATCTGCCTATTCTACTCACCTTACTCCTTACTCATGACTCAAATGCCTGCTCATACACTCAACCAGCCACAGTCCAGCTGTCTCCTCATCTACGTTCCTTTCTTTCATCTGCCTCCCAGACTTAGACTCTCTCTGCCACAAAGTACTTGGCTTGTGATTCTGGGTCTAGGAAGATTCTGTCATCTAGGGGATTGGTAGAATATGCAGTGGATGGGGGATATGTGTTTCATTGAGAAGCAGGTGCTGGCCTTAACAGTGATGAATGCCTTATATTGAACACCTTTAACTAAGAGTTTTCCACTCTGTGGAGAACTTTAGATCCATTTTACAGATGAGAGAATGGAATCTCCTAGAGTGATGGCCTAAGGTCACACAGATAGTGGGAATTCATTTGTGTTACTGTATTACCATCTTCAGGAGACCTCAAATTAGGGATAAATCTAGGAGAGTTGAATGGGGGACTGGGTGTGTGCTCTAGTTAATCATACACAGGAACAAAGAAACCAGTGATTTTACTGAAATGGAGATTTTACTGGGCAACCTTACAATACCTGAGTGGCTGGAACTTCCAACTTTCCCCTCACCCCTCCACACATACACCGTAGACCATGTAAGGCTGAGGCAGGGTCTGATAATCCTCTAAGATGGCTCTCTTGGCTTCCAGACCATGTGGGGTGGGATGAAAAGCTCAGGTGGTGTCTCCATTGACACAGAGTGCGTTAAGAGGCAGGGGCTGGCTCCAGGATCCTGGTGTCCTTGAAAGAAGCTGTAGGCTTTGGATGGCATCCCTCAGCTGGTCCTGAGTACATTCTATCTCAGTCAGTCGGTGCTCCTGGGAAGGCAGTGGAAGTGGGTTTCCTAAGGAAGGATTACTCACTAATTAGACTCCCCACTCTCTCCAGTCTCCAACAAGAATCTCACCAGACTTTTCAGCCTGCGGCCTTCATTGCTTGAAAGACTACCCTTAGGATCCAACTTTGAGGTTCTGTGGGGTTTGGGGACAGAAGGGGAAAGGTCAGAAGCTGAGGAAATCCCTTTCATACTGAATGGACAGCCAAGGCAGGGCTTGGAATGGAGTTGGGGTTTGTTCAGACTAAACAGTTGGGCATAAGTATGTTTGAAGCACTGGTATAGATTAGATCTTGGTATGGTTAAGGTTTAAAGACTAGTCTGGCATAATGGTGCAAGCCTGTAACCCCAACAACTCAGAAGGCTGAGACATGAGGATGAAGAGTTTGAGGTCAACTTGACCTAAATTGCTAGGCCCTGCTGCAAATGAGAAAAAGAGGGAGGAAAAAAAAGATGCAAGGATTAATCAGTCACCATTTGGAGGAGGAGACTAACCAGTGTGTAGGATGCCCCTAGGTGGCCCAACCCAGCTAGGAGAGGCTTCTTGAGGGGTAGGCTGCAATATCTATGGGGACTGTCAGGACCTGGGTATCTTGGGGGCGAGGCTGATGTAGGTAGGGGTTGGAGCTGTCAGGGCCGGGCTCACCCTGCTCCCAGCCTTGAGTCCAGGTCCTGTAGCTGACTCTGCAGTTGCTCCTGCTGCTCGGTCAAGGCCTGGATATGGATGTTCAGCGACTCCACGAGGTGGGACAGCGCTTTCTGTTCCTCGCGCAGCGCGGCCACTTCGCACTGTAGCTCTGCTAGCTGTGGGGAGACTGCAGCTGTAATCTGACGGATCCTCAGGCCCCTTCCTTGCCTAGTCTCATGCTCTTGGCCTGAACATCGCTCTACCCACTTGGGGAGCATCGCTCCTGTTGTTTGGCAAGGAAAACAGGTTTAGGGAGGGTCACACCGCGCAACCGGTTCTGTATTTCAAATCAGTCTCGACTTTCTGCCCTTAGTCCCGCTCCTATCTGCTGCCCGCCCCACCCCCAGGCGAGGCTCTGAATGGGACGTCACCTTGCCCACCGGTCGGTGCGTGCCCGGAACATGGTTTCCGTCCCGGGGCTGGTCCAGCTGGCGCTGCCAGGGCACCGATGGCTTCCGAGGCAACGAGGCGGAGGCCCCAGTCCAGGGTCGGCTTCGGGGCACGGGACCAGGGCGCAGGGAACCTTTGGGTCTTGGCCGGGGCCCCGCAGACGAGCGGCGGGGAGGAGGGCGTCTTGCAGGGACACTCTGCGCGCGCTGCACTGGCCGGGTCCTCCGTGGGGGCTGTTCGTTATCCGGCCGCCGGCAGGCCCAACCTCTTGCCCCTTGAAAGCTGCGCAGAGACTGGCTCTTGGAAATGAGAGGGGTGTGCTTGGGGAGGTCTCGCGGTGCCAGGAAGCCGGGCTTCTCCCCTACAGAGAAGCTGGGAGTGGGATGTGGGAGTTCAGACCCTCAGCTGGCCCCTGAGATGACGCCATCCCGACCTCTGGCCGGAAATGACCCACTTCCTATACCAACGAGACCCTGTCTCTTGGGACATTGTGACCTATGACTTTGATGAGACGCTGCCCTTCTGACTACCAAATCACCCCAATCTAATCTTTGCTCCCTCACTAGCTTTGGCTCTGAATTGCCCTTGACCTGACCATTTCTGTAACAGAATTCTGATTCCAGTCTGACCCTGGCTCACAAGGGTACCATCTTTCTTCCCAATGTGACTCTATCTTCTCTTCAGCCTCTGACCTTAAGCTGACCATGCTGTTCCTACTCCCTGATAGAACATGAACTCTAACCTGTGACCTCATCATGCCTAGCCCTATTTTGTCCTGTGCTTGACCTTTGTAACATCTGCTCTTCCCCTACCCTTGATTTAACCTCATCCCCAGCCTCTGATGACACCATCATCTATCTTTTCCTTTTTGGTCTTTTTGAGACAGGGTCTCCCTGTCGACATCATCATCTTACAAGGCGACTTTCTCTGATTGCAGAGGTGACCCTTTCCTGTCCTCTAACAAGACTCTATCTCTATCTTGGACTTAATCTGACTCTGTGACTGCCTGCCCGGTGACCACATTGTGGGTCACTCTGACTCTTTACAGGATGCCATCCTCAGCCTCTGATCCCTAACCCCAACAGGATCCTACCCCTGGCCCCTGACCTTATCCACGTCCTTAGACCTCTCTTCCCACCCATGGGAACCCAGACCAGACTAGAGGTTACCTGGAATGGACCTGGGTGGGGGTCCGGGGAAGACGCATTGGCACAGACACTGGGACAGGCCGGCCCTCTTCGATGGCTTGTAGAATGGTTGGCAGTGGTTCCAAGCTGTCTTTGGTTGTCTGTCAAGGCACGCAAGGAGGAGGCCCTGTGAACTGCCAGAAGCCAGAGCCTCCCAGCCTTGTTGCCGCCCCATTCTGCCTCCATCCAGGACTCTGGGCTCAGACCACACCTGGTCAAGTTCGGCAAAGATTGTGCAGAGCTGGGCATGCAGGACTGCCAACTGAAGGGCCAAGTCTCCACTGCCTTGGTAACCACTGGGTGTGGCATCCACATTTACCACAGCCACCTGGTTCAGGAAGCACTGCATGGCTGGTCCATGATCTTCCAGGAAGCTATTCATGAAGCCCATATAGGCTTCCTTCTCGCCAAACCTGAGTTGGGGCCAGGATGGGTGAGTCAGGACAAGCACCTGTCAACTCCCTACTCTCCTAACCCATTGGTGCCCCTCAGCTTCCCACCACCTACGGCGCACGGTTGGCGAGATTCTGGATGACCTTGGCGATCAGCGTGAGGGTCCGGGCTGGACCTGGGGTCGGATACTCTGGTGCCAGGCCAAAGAGACTAGGTGCCAGGATGGCAGGGCAGAGGAGCCTCAGGAAGAGGGAGGCACACACCAGCCGGGGGCCCAGTGCTTCAGAGCCACGTGCTTTGCAGGCTTCTCGCCAGCTTGAGAATACAGTACCCAGCTCTGCTGGGAACCAGCTGGAGCAGAAGAAGCAATGGTCAGAGAAGGGGGCTAGGGGCATAAAAATCATGGATGGTCAAAGTCATAAGGTCAGGGGTCAGATGTGGTTTGTCTGTGATCTATGGTTTATGAAGCCCATGTAAACATTCTTCTCATTGAACCTGGAGTTTGGGTTGTAGGGTTGGGACTATTTGGGATAATGATGCTTGGGGCTTGGGTCCCAGGGGCTCAGAACTTCTGTCATAATTCCAGCAACCTCTGGAGCCAGTACTCTTATATTTGGGCATATAAAATTACATGGGGACAAAGGTCAGGCATTTGGGATGTAATCATAAATAGACATGAAAGTGAGGTGTTAGACTATTAACATGAAGTAGGGGTCAGAAGTCATAAGATTAAGCATATAAGGTCAGAAGCCAAGGAACTGGACAGTCGTGTTTCTTATAATCAGTTTCATAGGATTAGGGACACAGGGTCTGTTAAAGTGAGGGGTTGTGGGATTGGGAGCATGCATCATCTATAGTCAGAAGACCTATATTGACAAAGAACCAAGTGGTATAGGATTGGGGTATGCAATCCTCAGTGGTTAAAGGCTAAGAAACTGGGTCCTAAGTTACTTGAGGTTAGGTGGGGCATGGGAATTGTAGGGATGCCAAACATAGTAAACAAAACTTCAAGACACCCTGTTAAATTTGACTTTGATATAAGTATATATCAAATATTGCAGTAAATTTAACAAGTGTCCTGCACATTATTTTATTTGACAACCTTAATTTGCTGGGGGAGTGGGGGTGTTTGGGGCAACACTGTGGCTGAGAGGAGGGCTGGACTCAGGTACTGGGCCCCTGATTCTCACTCATAGGAATGGATGATGGTTTCAAAGACTTCCTTGCAGTTGTTTCTGAGTCTGGCCTGGTGCTCGGGCAGTTCTGGGGTTGGACACTTGCTGGGGTCTACTTCACAGTCTTCAGTGGAGGCACAGAGACGCTGCACAACCTGCCCTGTAGTCCAGCACAGGGCAGTCAAAGACCATTAAGTCCAAACTCATCACACCCAGTCTCTAATCTTATCTCCAACTTACACTGGAGGTACCTAACATCTTGAGAAAATGCCAATTTCCCACTCCAGAATCCTAACACCCCAAATCACTATTACCCAGGGTCTCCTAGATCTCCTCTAGGGTCCTTTAGCCCACTTAGAGGGTCTCTGACACCAATCCTTCACCCAGCTCACCTAGGGTCTCCTGGAGGTACTCTTGTGCTACCAGTTTCATATACTCGTCAATGGCCTTGGTGGCTAGGGTATTTTCTCGAAATAGCAGCGCTTCACGGCCTCCACAGCGCACCAGCTCTGCGGTGCCCAGGTCTGTCACCAATGCCTGTGCAGGGCAGAGCGAGCCTGGGAAGCCCAGCCATTCACTCATCTTTCGTACCTGTACACAGGCCTTCTCTCTCCTGGTTGATACTGAAACACAGCGCTCATTTCTGGCTCTTTTTAGCTGAGACCACAACCACCACCTCTCATAGAAATAAGCGCCTTAGCCCAGAGGCTGAGCTCCGGCCCCACCCCTCACAGCTCAAGTTCAGGCCTCGCCCCACGCGCCTGATGCCCAAGCCCCGCCCCTCACGGAGCCCCGCCTTCTCACGCCTGGGACTCCGGCCCGGTCCCTGGCAGCTGAGAAAAAATCCCGCCCCGCGTGGTGAGTCACAGGTCCCGCCCCTCGCAGCAGAGGCACAGGGCCGCCCCTCGAGGAACACCGCTCCGCCCAGCTGAAGCTCTGGCCCCACCCCTCACGGAGCCCCGCCCCTCTCGGACCCCGCCCAGTCAGGCACAAAGCAGGCCCCTAGGTCCCTGCCCCTGTCTGCGCCTTCCGGGATCCTCACCTGTGCCCTGCCAGTGGCCCGCAGGACGCGCACCATGACGGCTGCCAGCTCCTCCTTAGCCTGAGCCGACAGTGCGGGCTCCAGCGCCCCACAGAGGCGAGCATAGTGGAAGGTGATAAACTCAGCCAGCTCTTTGTAGCGCTCCGACGCCAGCACGCGCAGGCGTCGCGCCCGGATTCGCGCCCGCAGCGCCGCACCGGCGGATGCCCCAAGCAGCGGGAACCAGCGCTCCAGGCCGGCCGCGGGCGCGCGGGGGACGCTCACCTCGTCCAGCGCCAGCGCCACGCGGCCCACCGCTACTCCTGCCGGACCTGCTCCGCGCAACCGCAGCGACAGGCGACGGGCTGGCGGCAGCGCCTCAAAGTGGAAGCGTTCGGCCCAGAAGAGCTGGCCCGGGCCGGCCCGCGGTGCAGTGCGCGCCAGAAGCGCGCCGTCCAGCCACAGCTCGGTGCGCACGCCGGGTGCTGCGGCCCGGGGTAGCCCCTTGGCCTCGTGCACCCACACGCTCAGCCACGTCTCCTCCCGCTCCACGTTGTCCTGCGGACAGGAGTAGGGTGGGAGTGTTTCGGAGACGTCCGCGCTCCAAGATGCGCACCGCGACCAGGGTGCGCCTCGCGCGTGGGGAAATCGCTACGTGCCTGAGTAAGGAGCACGAAAATGTCGAGGCGGCTAAGCAGAAAACTTCTAGCTTTGGGGAATCCCGCACACATCGGTGCTCAGGACAGGAGGAGTAGCCTGGGAATTGGCAACGAGGCAGGATTTGGGGTGCAAATAGAACGGGGAGCTGGACAGGGGCGAGTCTGACACTCGGGGCTGGGCGTGTTGCGGGGATGGGGGGGCAAGCTGTACTGGGGTAGCGTGGAAGGGGTAGGGCCTTGTGGGTAGGTTTTCCTGTTCGTCTCCTCCCCTGCAATGACCTGGTTGGTGTGGAACTGCCGACGAAGGTCTTCGATCCAACGGTCTCTCTCAGCACAGGAGCGACAGGAGAAGCAGCGGCTCCCGCCAGCCCAGGTTACCTGTTAGGGCGGGGATCCAAGGGTGTGGCGGAGGAAGGTGGAGAAGGAGGGTCACAGGTGGGACCAGGCTGGACGCTTGCTGTACTTACCTGGAAGCAGTAGGGCTCCCCCAGGAGGCTATGATGCAGCGGCCAGACTCTCACATCCCGCTCGGCGCCCAGGTCCAGCTCTGAGAGCGTGGCGAGAGATTCTCTGGAGCCCAGTACACTGGGGGGTCTGAGGTGAGGAAGGGCCAGCAAGAGTTGATTTCTCCCTCACCCCCTTATCGCCCATCACTCAATCCTTTGCTACTATCCCTCCCAGCCTCTTAGCCTTTGACCTGCTGTTTCCTCTGCCTGGAGTTCTTACCCCAGCCCTTTTTGGCTTAATTTTTACCCATCCTTCGGAGCTTTCAGCTTAACGAACCCTTCCCTGGCCCTCCCAGATCCGGGGGTGTTCAGTTAGCTTTTGAGAGCTCACTCCCACCCTTCAATCAAGGACTTGGAAAAGGGCTAGGGTCTTTGTGGTCCCAAGTTCACCTGACATGGGGAGAAAGAGAAGAGGCCCTTCCTTGGAGGTGTGCCGTGAAGGTGAAGGTGAGGATAAGAAGGCAGGAAGTGGGCAGTGTTAAGCTGCAAGACCTGTAGCCTCCCAGATACTCTTACCCATCTCGAGGGGTGTGGGTTCCCAGCTCTGACCTGGCCTTTTTCTTCTCTTTCAGCCTCTTGAGTAACCCCTGGGGGAAAGGGAGCTGTCAGCTAGGTAGAACCCTGAGGCTCTTCCTCAGCTCCTTATCCACTGAGCACCACAGGGTTTGTGGTCTTTTGGATTTTGGTTTGTGGATTCAGTCTACACCCAGGTGCATCAGCAGTAGTAATAACTAACCAGCAGTTCACATTCATGGACATGTTCTGCAGTGCTGGGGATCAAACTCAAGTCCTCATGAGGGAAAAATACTCCATCAGTGGTGCTACGGTCCCTTGCCCAGGAGCTTGCATTTTTCCTTCTTCCCTTTCCCTCCCTCCTCTCCTTCCTTCCTTCTTTGAAAGTCATGCCTTTCAAATAACAGTCCAAGAAAGCCCCATGTTCAGCAACGGCAGTAGGCAAACATCTGCAAGGTGGAGGAGGGTGGGGGACTTCTGAGGAAGCCCAGAGTATCAAGGAAAACATTTATAGGCTTTTGGTCAGTATCCAAAAAAAAAAGAAAAAAAGGAAAGGAAAATACTTTTTGAGTTAGACCTAGAAAAGCAGACAGGCTTCCATTTCTGTATTTTTTTCTGTTTTTATTTTTTATGTGTCTATGTGTATGGTATACATCTGTGTATGTGTGTTCACATGTGTGTGCATATGTGAGTGAGCATGCACATGTATGTGTGTGGAGGCCCGAGGCTGATGTCAAGACTCACTCTTCACCACGAGACAGGGAACTCAACACGAGAGCACCACTAGAGCAGCTAGCCAGCTTGCTCTAGGGATACCAGGGATTCTCCACCTTCTGAGTGCTGGAATCACAAGCAAGCTGCCATGCTCACTCAGCATCTGCTTGAGTGCTAGGGAACTCCAGTTCCTTAAGATTGTCTAGCAAGTACTTAACTCACTGAGCCATCTCCTCATTCCCACCCGGCAGCTTCCATCTCTAAAGCACCAATCACTCTCTTTCCTGAATTCTGTATTGACTACTTATAAAATGGAGAGGGAACCAGGTATGATGGCTCACATCTGTAATCCCAGTATTTGGGAGGCTGAGGCAGGAGGATTGCCAATATTTTGAGGCCAGCATGAGCTATACGAATGATCACAGGGTGAGACCCTGGCCCCCCCTCCCCAAAGCCCCAAACAAAAACAGAGGACTTTTCTCATTAGTGCTATTTGACAGACAGGAGACAGTCACTGTCCTGCTCATGATCCCTTTCTATGGGGCCTAGAGGCCCAGGACTACAATCCTAGCTACTCTGGAGGCCGAGGTAGGAGAATCATAAGTTCAAGACCTGAGTGGACAATTTAGTGGTACCCTATTTTAAAATAAAATTTGAGTGGGGGCCTGGGAGATGGCTCAGTAGTTAAGTGCACTGGCTGTTCTTGCAGAAGATCCAGGTTCAAATCCCAGCACCCACATGGCAGCTAACAACCACCATAACTCCAGTCCCAGGGGATCCAATGCCTTCTGTCCTCCCAGGGCATTGCACAACATAGGTGCACTTATATTCATTCAGGCATAACACTCATACACACAAAAAAAAAAATCCAAAAATTTTAAAATAAGATTTTGGCGTGTATGTGTGTGTCTTATTTTTTAGGCAGTGCTAGATGTATCCCTGGCTGGCCTAGAACTCATTATGGAGTCCAGTCAATTCTCCTGTCTCTGCCACTGAGTGATGGCATTACAGGCATGCGCTACCACATCTGCCCCTAACAACATATATATTTATATTTCACCTAAGGTATGGGGATTTAGTTCAGTGGTAGAGTACTTGCCTAGCATGTGTGAGGCTCTGGTCTGGAAGTCCTTGTTTACCCTTGCCTCTACACACCCCCAATCTCCCAACACACTGCCTTACCCGAACATTGTGGACCTGGTTGGAGCCTGCAGCGTCTGACTCTGTTTTTCCAGGGGTCCGATCTGTGGTGGTCCAGAGGTGGATGTTGGGGGTGGGAAATGTGGATTATATACCACTTTGAAAGGCTCCCCAATCCTCGAGCCTCCACCACCTCCCAAATTTACCTGAATCTCTGAGGTTCCCCATGGCTTGCATGCTGCTCTCTGAGCTGGCACTTCCCACCCGGAGCTGGCGAGGACCCTGATCCTCCGTAGGAGCAGGCAGTCAGAAAGAGGAAGCAGGCGTGTTCCTGAGACTCCCCCTCTGCTGCTGCCTGTCCCCTTCCCTCAACTTGCCCCTCTTACCTCCTCCTCACCCCCAAGCAGCACCAGTCTTCCTTCAAGCAGGGTGAAGCCCCCGATGTCCCAGACAGGCATGTCAGGTGTGGGAGCCTCCGGGATCTGTGGAACAGGCTGCTGTGGGTCTGCTTCCAGTTCCAGCTCTAGCTCTGGGAAGGAAGTGGGTGCTGAGGAATCTCAGCCCCCTTTTCTACCTCAGGTCACCTTCCTGCAGCAGGCATGTACCCTACAGCAATCATGCCAAACTGTGTGTCCTTGGGCAAATCTCTACTTCTCTATGGAGTTTTTTTCCCACCAACCGTAGCATTGTACACAGCCCACCAACTGTGTGTCCAGTACTGTTTACCACTCTACATGCCTTCTCTCACTAAGTCCTCTGAATGCCATTTAAAGAGCATTAGAACTGAGGCCCAGAGGGTTGGAGAGATGGCTCACTGAATAAGAGCACTTGATGCTGCTGCAGGGACATGGTAGCATATGCCTTTAATCCCACCACTCAGGAGGCAGAGGCATGTGGCTCTCTGAATTTGAGGTCAGTCTAGTCTACTAGTCCAGGCCAGCTAGGGCTACACAGTGAGACCCTCTCTCAAACAAAACAAAACAAAAAAATCCAACCCACACAAAAAAAGAGAACTTGCTGCATTTGGTCACAAATGTCCACAACTCCAGTTCTAGGGGATCCAATATTCTCTTCTGGCCCCTGTGGGTGCACTTAAATACACATAGGCAAAACACTCAGACACACAAAATGATAAATCTTACTAAGATAACTGGGACTGAAGAGATGGTTCAGTGGTTAAGAGCACTGGCTGCTCTTGCAGAGGACCTGGGTTCTGTTCTCAGCACCCACATGGTGGCTAACAACTTCTTTAACTCGTTCCAAGGGATCCAATGCTCTCTTCTGACCTCCTCAGGCATTGCACCACATACATAAATGCAGGAAGTAGGCAATACACTCATGCACATAAATTAAAAATAATAACAGGCCCAGAGAGGCTGAGTGGCCTGCCCAGGGTCATACAGCTTATAAGTAATTAAGCTTACAAACACAAGCATTCCTCCCTTAACCAAGAGAGTAGACAAGGGCTGGGCCTAGTAGCACACACATGTAATCACAGCACCTGAGACACTGAAGCAAGATGATGATGATTCCAGGCCAGCCTGGACTAGAGGGAGATCCTATCTCAAGGGAGGGAGGAGGGAAAGAGGGAGAGAAGGAGAGAGAGGGAGAGGAAGAGAGAGGGAGGGAAGGAGAGAGAGATACATACATAATTAATCTGAGGCTCAGTAAAGGCAATTGCAATGTAAGCGTAACAACTTGAGTTCCATCCCTGGGACCCATGTAGAGGTAGAAAGAGTGAACTAGTCCACAAAGTTGTCCTCTGACTGCCACATGCCATACATATAACACATGCACACACTATAGACATACATATATATATGTAATTTAAAAATTTTAATCTAAGATGGAAAGTATTCAGTTTGAGAAAGGTATAGAAAAAGTTAAAGGTAGGGCAGGTGGTAGATAGTGGGCCAGGGAAGGCCTAGAAAGAGTACATTTGCAATAGGTCTTCAACTGGTTTAAATTTAATTAAGCAGAGATGAAAGAGAAGGTGGCAGGAGAATCTGAACAAAAGCTGTGAGATGGGCAAGGGAATAAAGGGAAGAACAAGAAAATCTGGAGGGCTCAGAGATTGGAGGGGAAGGTCTTGGCAACCAGTTGGAAGAACTAGGTTTTGCTTAGTTTTTGTTTGTGGTACTGGGAATTGAGCCTAGGGCTTGGCACATGCTAAGGATGCCCTCTACCACTGGGCCCAGGAATCAGGATGCTATCATGGTGGCAATAGGGAGCCATGGGAAATGTTGAGTAGGAGGAGGCTGTTTGTTAGAAAGCTCTGTCTGGATCCTATGTAGAGGGCAAGCTCTAACATCCTATCCTGTGAGAACTCAAAGAATGGCTCTGCAGGGCTGGAAATAGAGCTCACTGGTAGAGCACTTGCCTAGTATGTATGAGGCCCTGTTTGATTTTCAGCACTGCTCCTCCAAATTCCTGCAATATGGAACTTTAAATTTTTTCTGGATTTATTTTTATGTTTATGACTATGAAGACCGGACTAGATCTCCTGGAACTGGAGTTACAGACAGTTGTTGGCTGCCATGTGGGTACTGGGAACTGAGTCTAGGTCCTCTGCAAGACCAGCAAGGCCTCTTAACTGCTGAGCCATCTCTCCAGCCCCTAATATGGAACTTAAAAAATAATATTAACATAGCGAGTTCTAGGACTTCCAGGGCTACATAGTGAGATTCTAGCTCAAAAACAAATTATATACTGAGTTGATTTTTATTATGTTTAATTTGTGTGTGTGTGTGCACACATGTGCGCGAGTGCATACCATGACATATACATGGAGGTCGGAGGACAACTTGCAGGAGTCAATTCTCCAGTTCTCTCCTTCCACTACGTGGGTCATTAAGCTTGGCTTCAGGTGCCTTTACCTGCTGCTGAGCCATTGCTTCAGGTCCTCTTTTTTTGGGGGGGGTGTCTTTTTTTTGAGACATTGTCTCCCGGTAGCCCCAGCTGGCCTGGAGCACACTATGTAGACCAGACTGGCCTTAAATTCAGAGATATCTGCCTGCCTCTGTCTGCCTCCCAAGTGCTGGGACTGCAGGCATGTGCCACCACGTCCCTGGCACATTTTGACATAGGGTCTTGTTATGTAGCCCTGGCTGGCCTAGACCCAACAGAAGTACAAAGCCTAGCTTCAAAATGAGTGGCGGGAGGGTTGGTCAACACACGCCTGTAGTCCCAGAACTTGGGAGGCAGAGGATCTGTGAATTCAAGGCCAACCTGGTCTACATAGTGAATTCCAGACCAGATAGGGCTACAGGGAGACCCTGTCTCAAAAAGACCAATAAATAAATAAAAGCCTAATGACCACACAAATGACCTTAGCAGGAAACTATATTTGTGCCATAGAGACACTTTTATTTTGGGGGTAATCTCTTGAGCTTCCAGGAAACAGAAGGTCTGACTTGATCTTCTCAGCCTGTTTGTTTGCACCCCTGCTTTACCACTAAGGTGGATACATGACGTTTTGTTTGTTTTTTTTTTTTTTCTTTTTGGTAATGGGAACAGGGTCCACAGTCCCACAGCCTCTTCCATGTTAAGCAAGTGCTATACCACTGAGCCACACCTACAGCCCTAACTCTCTTAGCAGATTCTGGATCCTGAGCTAGCACTACATTCCTGTTCTCTAATATTCAAGGTCTCCTCTAGCCTCCCAGGTCTCTCTGGGTGACATTTGGCAGCACCTGTCATCTTCACTTGGCTTTTTTTATCTGTAAGCTCTCCACCTCCACTATGGTTTGAGCTCCACCAGGCAGGGATGTAATCTGCTCTGCTTTCTGTGTCCTCAGTGCTTCAGTCTGAGACTACAATCCATTAGATGCTCAACAGACTTCTGTTTGAGGTCATTGAGATGGCTTAGCAGGTAAAGGAACTTGCCACCAAGCCTGAGGAACTGAGTTTGATTGCTGAGACACACATGGTGGAAGGAGCGAACTAACCTGAAAGTTGTCTTCTGACCTCTGCAGCATACATTCCCCCATCTCCACATAAATAAACAAATAATATGCAGCTATCCTCTAACTTCCTCACATGTGCTGTGGCATGCTGCATACCCGAACACATGCGCGCGTGCACACACACACACGCTAAATCCTCTGCTTGAATGAATGAATGAATGAATGAATGAATGAATATACTTTCCAAGGTTAGAGGTGGGGAATTTCTGACTTAAAGAAACCAAGAAAGACTCTAGCCACAGAGCAGCCGAGATCCACATCCAGGCTATGACTTGGACCATTGGATACAGGAGACATTTATCAGGGCCAAGAGCCATTGAACATCCAGACAGTACAATTGTAGGCCCACTCCGTGTTCCTTTCTTAGGCTGTCCCCCAGCTGCCTACAAGTCTGTATCTCTCCCTCACCCCCGTTTAGGTAGAAAGAGGGAAAAGGGCTGCTCTAGGGGCCCCCTGCCACTTCCTGCTAGGCTTTCGTACTCCCCACAACTTCCTGTGTCTAGAGGACTGATGCTCTGGTGGCAGACAAACACCCAGGCATCCGGCCACCCAGCCTGGCCCCAGCCCCGGTGAGGGAGCAAGTACCTGGGCCTTTGGGGCCTGGCTCAGGCTCCGGTGGTGCTGCACTTCTGTGCCTCCTCAACAGGGTCTTGGAAAACCAGAGGCGACTGGACCGTGACTCCTTGGGGGGCGCAGAAAGGACCCGGCGGAACAGAGAGCGGGGAGTTGGCTGGCTGCTCACCATGGGCTCCTGGTGGCTCAGGGCCCTTCCCCAGCCCACAAAGCGGCCCCAGCGGGACCCTCCTGCTGCCTTCTCACTACTGCCTCCAGTATGCCAGCGGTAGGATGATATCGGAGAGGGCTGAGTTTGGGACTCTTCGCCAGGCAATCGTGGGTCCATGGCGCAGGCTCTAGTGTGAGATGACAGGGTCTGTCCACATTTGTTCTTCATCCTCCCCCTGTGTCTTCTCGGCTCTCCCACCAGGGAATACACTTAGTAGCAACACGTTACCTCCCTCCCTTACCTTGATTTCTTGGCCAGCCCAGAATCAGCAACCGTCTGCACTGTGCCTGGCTTCCTCCCTCGAAACCCAGCTCCACGTGACCCTGTCTGTCCCACCCCGGAGCACAGCCAGGCTGGGAGGGCATGGTGGGGGCAGGATGCGGAGGTGGGGGGTGGAGGAGAGGTGGCAGTGCCGGCTTCTGGTGAGAAGGATCAGGGGGCTGTAGTACCTCTCTCTTTGAGCCTAACTTGCCTTCTCTGTGAAATGGGGGCATGTTAAATAAATGTTGGCTTGCAAGGTCCAGAGCCCCTGAAAGTCTCATCCCTGCTGACCAGTGTGTGGACGTTCTTACCTGGGTTGGAAAGCTGTTTTGCTGTCATATAATAGGAATGGCTTTTTAAAAAAAAAAAGCCAAGCATGGTGGCACTGGCCTTTCTTTAATCCCAGCACTCCGGAGGCAGAGGCAGGCAGATCTCTATGAGATCGAGCCCAGCATTGCTACACAGTGAGACCCTGTCTCAAAACAACCCCAGAAAATATTATTAGTGTGTGTGTGGCGGGGGTGGGACTGTACACGCCAGGTGCTTATGTGGAGGTCAGAGGACAACTTTGAGTCAGTTCTCTCCTTACCCTTTTGTGTGAGTTCCAGGGATCAAACTCAGGTTGCCAGGCTTGCATGGCAAGTGCCTTTACCTACAAATATACGTTTTTTTAGTGGTACTGAGGATGGAACCAAGGACCTGATGAATGCAAGGCCAGCACTCTAGCACTGAGCCACACCCTAAGCTTCTTTTTACCTTATATTGCCCACACTGGGCCTAGAACTCACTTTGTAGCCCAGGCTGGCATTGGGTTCCTGGTTCTTAGTATTATAGGCCTGTGCCACCAGGCCTGGCTGGATGTTTTTTTTTCTAGTGCTAGAATGGAACCCAGGACTCTGTATGATCAACAGAGCTGTAGCACCGAGTCCACACCCAGCCCTTGGCCTCCTAACAAGAGTACCTGGGTCTCCTCTGATCCAGCAGACACCCAGGAGACATGTTTACCAGCACTGCTGCTCATAGCTCCAAACAGGAAACAGCTCAGGTGTCCACTGATGGTAGAATGAACATGGTGTGGCATCTTCACACTGAAGAATACCATACAGCAAGGAAAACAAGCAAACTGAATAAATGACTTGGGATGAATCACAGTGCTTGAACCAAGGCAAAAGCTAAAAGGCGTATACACTGGCTGAATCCGTTCATATAAAGTTCCAAACCTTGCCGGATGTGGTAGCACATGTCTATAATCCTAGCACTTAGGAATCAGAGGCAGGAGGGTTTCCATAAGTTCAAGGGCAGCCAGGGCTACTCTGCAAGACCCTGTCTCAAAGAAAAAGAAAAATTAAAATTTTTGAATCAAGCAAAAGGTGTTTCAAGGCAGGAATTGGGGCTGGAGAGATGGCTCAGTAGTTAAAAGCATGCACTGCTCATGCAGTGGACCTGAGTTCAATTCCTAACATCCACATCAGGCAGTTCACAACTGTCTGTAACTCCAGCTCCAGGGGATCCCACATATACCCACACTCACTTGCATATACACACATACACATAATTTAAAAATAACAAAAATAAACCTTTAAAAACTCAGGGAATCTGTTTTATTTGGAGGGGCACAAATGGAGCTACTGGAAGATGACCTACCTTGTTCTCTTGTTTTGAGATGGGATCTCTTGTGTCCTAAGTTCATCCTGAACTTGATGTATAGTGATCGTCCTGCCTCTATCCCCTAAGTGCTGGGATTACAGTTATGTACTACACATCCAGTTTTTTGTTTTGTTTGTTTTTCCTTTGAACCCAGGGCTCCATGCATCCTGAGCAAGCATTTTACCTATTGAGCTAAAAAAAAAAAAAATTCTCCCATGTAGCCCAGGCTGGCCTTGAACCTTTGATTTTCTTATTTCCATTTCCTGAATGGTGGGATTACAGTCATGAACTGCCATGCTCAGTATTCATAGTTTAGATGAGAGGACAACTTGCAGGAGTCAGTTCTCTCCTTCCATGAAGTGGATTCTAGGGATTGAACTCAGATTGTCAAGCTTGGCAGCAAGGGCCTTTACTTGATCAACCATATCAATAGCTCCAGTTCTTTTTAAGATTTATTTTATTTTTAATTATGTGTATCTGTGTGTGGGTACTTGCACCCAATGTGGGTGGTAGGAACTGAACTTGCATCCTTTGCAAGAGCAGTACATGGGCACATGCTCTTAACCACTGAGTCATCTCTCCAGCACCCTTGCCCACAGCCAGTTGTTTTTTTAATACAAATGAAACTGACACAACATAAATTTAACATGTTCTGTTTTTTGAGCTGAGTACTGGTGACATGTGTGTGTACTGAAGACATTGTGATGCACCTTGGTGTACTGTCTGGTCACTATCTTTTATATTTTGATAAATGTTTTCTTGAAAAAGAGGTAGGCTGTCAAGAAGGCTCAGTGGATATAAAAGGTGCAGATGAGTTTGATTCCTGGGACCCACATGGTGGAAGGAGAGAACTGACTCACATAAGTTGTCTTCTGACCCCTACACACATGCCCGGTACACACACAAAATAAACAAAATAAACAAATAAAAATAATAATTTAATTTTTATTTTTATTAAAAAAAAGAAGCGAGTAAAGGTTCTGATAGGAGTGAGTCAGCATAGATCCAACCCAGGTTGGAGTGCTGGTTGGCCTCTTTCTCAATTTGTGACCTCAGGCAAGTCATTTCCTCTCTCTGAGTTTCCTTATTTGTACTGATATCAGTCTCAGAAAGCTAACATTTGGGGGTTGGAGTGATGGCTCAGTGGTTAAGAGCACTTGCTGCTCTTGCAGAAGACCTGAGTTCAAATACCAGAACCCACATCAGGTTGCTCACAACTGCCTGTAACTCCAGCTCTAGGGGATCTGATACCCTCTTCTGGCATCCTTGAGTACATGCACACATATGTACATACTTGTGCACATACACAAACACACATATATACACATAAATAAACATAATAAAGTTGGGCATCATGGTTCATGTCTTTAATCCCAGGAAGTAAAGGCAGGTGGATCTCTGTGAGAACAAGACCAGCCTTGGTCTACATACCGAGTTCTAGGCCAGCTGGGGCTATAGGAGGGCCCTGTTTCAAAATAAGTAAATAAAAATAAATCTTTTTTTAAGCTAACATTTGGGAACAGGAGAGATATCTTAGTGGTTAAGAACACATGCTGTTTTTGCAGAAGATTCCACTTTGGTTCCTAGCAACAACATTGGCAGCTCACAACCACCTGTAACTCCAGTTCCAGGGGATCTCATGCCTGCTTCTGGTTTACATAGGCACCTGCACTCACAATCACATACAGGCATACACATAATTTAAAAAATAAAATTTGGATTGGAGAGATGACTGCCATTATGAGCACTGGTTGCTCTTGCAGAGGACCTGGGTTTGGTTCCCAGTACTCATATGGCAGCTAACAATCATCTGTAACTCCAGTTCCAGGGAATCCGACACCTTCTTCTGGCTTCCACAGGCACTGCACACATGTGGTGTACATATACACATGCAAGCAAAATACTCATAAAATAAAAATAAATGATATTTAAAAGTAAATAAAAATAAAAAGCTTACATTCAACAAATGTTTCCTGAGTATTTAGTGTGCATTAGGTGGTTGGGGGAAGGAGGGGAAAATTAAGTTTGATTCCTGTCCTCCTGGTGCTCACAGTTTGACAAGAGAGAAAGGTTTTGAATTCAAACAGATATTCTGAGCTGGTGTGGAAGACTTGGATCGAAACAGACATACTGGATGGAAGAAGACCAGCTGAACAGACATACCACTTTTCTCAGGTTGGAAAAATCAGGGCGGGCTTCTCTGGAGACGTGACCTTTGTAACCTGAATCAGGGGAAAGAAACAAGATTGTGCCAAGTAGAAGGAACTGTGTGCAAAGGCAAGGATAATGAGAATCCCTGGGGCCGTGTACACTTGTAATCTTCACACTTGGAAGGTTGAGGCAGGGGGATCACTACAAGTTTGAGGCCAGCCTGGGTTACATAGTGGACGGTGTATGAGGGCAGATTCATGGGGGTGGGTGGGATAAGACTGGGCATATGCTGCTGTAGTCACCAAGGGCCTAGACTCTGAGGTCCCACACTTGGTTTAAGGCTCTGCTTGCTGTGACTGTCTTGAAAATCTTGCTTTGGACAAGGGCTGTTGCATTTTTATTACTTACCTGGGCTTGCAAGCCCATTCTGAGCAGAAGTCTTTTTAAAAAGATTTTATGTGTATGAATGTTTGCCTGCATGTATATGTGTACCATGTGTAGTGCCCATGAGACCAGAAGGGGGCATTGGATCGCCTGAAACTAGAGTTTTGAACTCACTATGTAGACCAGGCTGGCCTTGAACTCACAGAGATCCACCTGCCTCTTACTCCTAGCTCACAGAGATCCACCTGCCTCTGCCTCACAAGTGCTGGGATTAAAGGCGTGCGCCATCATACCTGGCTTTCAAAAGTTATTTCAAGGACTGGGGATGTAACTCAGTTGGTAGAGCACTTTACCAACATGCACAAGGCCCTAGGTTTGAGCCCCAGAATGCCATAAACTGGGTGTGGTGATACATACCTGTAATCTCAACACTTGGGAGGTGGAGGCCAGAGGATCAGACATTCAAGGACATTCTCAGCTACATAGTAGGTTCAAGGCCAGCTTGGCCAACATGAGACTCTCTTAAAAATAAAGCAAAAACCCCCAAATAAACAATTTTCAACTTTCTATTTGGAATTTCATTGAATCCTGTCCCCACTCCCAAATCCCTGCTTTCCCCCCCTTCCTGTGGGTGTGCTAGGGATATAACTCAGTGCCTCACACACGTACTGGGCAAGTGCTCTGCCACTGAGTCATACTGCTGTCCCTATTTTATTCTGCTTATTTTTACTTCATTTTACTTACCTTTTTTAGAGAGAAGGTCTCACATATCCCAGGCTTGTCTTGAACTTGCTAAAGCTAAGGACAACCTTTCTGATCCTCCTGCGTCCTCCTCACGAATGCTGGGATTATAGGTACACCATCATGCCTGGTTTATGCAGTGTTGGAGATTGGATCCAGGGCTTTGTGTATATTAGGCAAGCCCTCTATCAACTGGGCTTCACCTCTAGCCTTGTTTTTATTTTTAAGTGACAAATTATAGTTGTGTATATTCATGGAGTACAATGTGATATATATAAAATGTGGAATGACTAAATCAAGCTGGGGTTTTTCTTTAGTGGACCTGGAACCCTGGGCTTCAAATATGCTAGGCAGGAACTTACACTTAACTGTAATCTCAAGATCAGCGGAGGAGTAGTGTTTAGGAAAAGTCAAAGACTCTTCCTCTGGAGCCAGATGTGTCTGTCCATGGGCATACGTACTTTAGATACACCTGCCTCATTCAGGCCATTCACTGTGCACATGAGCTGCTCTGTGTTCTGCCAGATTGCCTCAGCTTTAGTATTATGATGTGGTGTGTTTGTGTGTGTGTGTGTATGTATATGTGTGTGTGCATGTACATGGGACTGTGTGTTTTTGAGGCCAGAGAAAGAAGTCAGGTGCTCAGCTCTATCACTGCACCTTATTCCCATGAGACACAGTACCTCATTGAACCTTGAGCTAGGCTAGCAGCCAGGAAGCCTCAGAAATTCTCCTGTATCTGCCCTTCATAGCACTGGGGTTACAGGTGTGCTTTTTAAGTGGGTGCTGGGGATTTGAACGCAGATCCTTATGGTTGCACAGTAAGCAGTCTTACCTGCTGAGTCATCACCCCAGCTCTTTAGCTTTATAATTTTGCTGCATACCAGCCCCACTCACAACATTTTCCTTTACCCTGTCCTTTCTCTTCCCTTTTCTTGTGCTAGGGATGGAGCCCAGGGCCTCCTCATTGCAAGATTTTACTCTAGCAAATGGGGTCCAGTCTCCCTATCATGTGACAAGCAGCCCCAATGTGCCACCAAATTAACACCTCCTAGAGTGGCCCTCTACCAGTGACCCAGGCTCCAGGGATTAAGGATGACCATGAAGGGTCCATGCTCTCTCCTTGCAGGACCAAGTTGTGCTTGCTGGCAGTGAGAACCTGCTGCTTACAACCTCCTTCCCTGGGAGCTCTTCCTCCCTGTCTTGTTGTGTGGCCTCTCAACTCTTTGTTCTGGAATTTTAAAAATTTATTTCTGGTTTTCTTTTCTTTTCTTTTGGTCTTTTTGAGACAAGAACTCCCTGTAGCCCCAGCTGGCCTGGAACTCACTACGTAGACCAGGCTGGCCTCTTCGTCACCGAGATCTACCTGCCTCTGCCTCTCAAGTGCTGGAACTAAAAGCATGCACCACCATGCCTGGTTTGGTTTGGTTTTCTTTAAAAAATTATTTTATTTTATGTGTATGAGTGTTTTGCCTGCATGTATGTAAGTGCATCCATGCATGCAATGCTATCAGAGGCCAGAAGAGGGTATGGGGATCCCTTGGAACTGGAGTTAGGGATGGCTGTTAGCCACCATTGTGGGTGTTTGGAACTGAATCCAGGTCCCTTGCAGCCACTGCTCTTAACCCCTGAGCCATCTCTTCAGTCCCTTGTTTTGTTCCTTTGACACTGTAGCTGAGAGCGGCCTCCAAACTTTTTGGGAAACAAAATACAATGGTCTATTTTCAATATGAAAATGCCTTAAATGGGCTTAGGCTTCCAATAAGAAGGAGGCACTGGATCCTCTGCCCCAACAGCTAGCACCTGCCTGTCTGACCTCTTGGCTATCCTTTCAGAGCAAAGTTTTATCTCAGGATGGGAATACAGGCAGCCTACTAGATGACTAAGCACATACCCTGACAAGGTGGGGAGGGGTACAATGAAATTTAGGTGGCATCCAGGAAAGACTGTACCTCACAAGTACCCAGCCAATGGCAAAAAGGGAGAGACTTTCAATTAGGGCTACAAAAATGAGTGTTTTGAGCTATTTATCTGGGTTGGCATTTGACCTTACAAGATCATAAAAAAACTGCCTCCATTTTGTACTTGTGAGACTCTGGTACTTTTATTTCAATCTGCCAAACTTCAATCTGCCAAACACTGGGACTGAGGTGTATGGCACCAAACCCATCTTTATGTATGTATGTATTTAATTTACCATGCTGGGGCTGGAGTCAAGGGCCTCGTGACTGTCAACTCAGGACTCTACCACTGAGCTACACCCACTTTGCTTGCATTTTGTCTAAGAATCCCTTAATAGTAATGCAAAGCCAAATGACTACAATGCTTGCAGACAGAGACTTTCAGTGGTGCCTTTATTGGAGGTCTGTGGCTGCCGGAAGGATTGATAATCAGGGGTAGTGCCTCCTGGATCTCCAAGGGATTCTTCTGGGAGTTCTTAGTTTTCCGTCTGGAAGAAATGAGAGAATGTGAGACTTGGAGTGTATGTATGTATGGGTCTGCCCTCCTTCATGTGGGATCATGGGTAGGGGACAGAACAGAGGCCCAAATGGGTATAAAGCTGACTGTAGTTGGGCTTGGTGAGGGAAATGATTATAGAGAATTAAAATATTTTCTATCAAAAGAATGATGCTGTAATCTTTGTAATGCAATTTTTGTGATTCTCCCCCAACACACACCTTATAAAGCATTTGTTTAGCAGCCAACCCCAACTCCTTCCCGTTTTTTCTCTGCGCTTTTTTTTTTTTTTTTTTTTTTTTTTTTTTTTTTTTTTTCTTGATTCTTCAACTATCCCCATGCTCTGGAACTCACTATATAGACCAGGCTGGCCTTGAACTCACAGAGATCTGCCTGCCTCTACCTCCTGAGAGCTGGGATTAAAGGCGTGTGCCACCATTCCTGTCCCTCTTTTGTACCTTTTATTTTTATGTGTGTATGTATGTAAGTATGTATGTATGTATGTATTTATATTTATTTTTGAGATGATTTTCCTATATCCCCAGCAGGCCTGGAACTCACTGTGGAGACCAACCTGGCCTCAATCTCCCAGAGACCCACCTGCTTTTACCTTCTGAGTGCTGGGATTAACATCGTGTGCCTATTTTTAAAAAGTAACCTCAGCAGTTAAGAACACTGGTTGTTCTCGCAGAAGACCTGGGTTCAAATCCCAGCACCCACATGGCTGCTAACAACTGCCGGTAACTCCAGTCCCAGGGGATCCTACAGCCTCTTCTGACCTCCTCGGGCATTGCACAACTCAGGTGTATTTACTTACATGCAGGCAATACACGCATACACATAAAGTTAAAAAAAATTAAAACTAGCCAACCATGAAAGACTCTGAGGTCAGACCCCAGCCAATAGGGAAAAGACACAGTACTCTTGTGTTAGGACAAAAACCTATTAAAATTTCTGGTCCATGTGCTTGCTTTCCAGCTTTTGGTGGCCATGTACCCTTCTGTAAAGAAATAAAGTATACCCTGCCAAGATTCCTTAATTTGAGTGGTGGTCTCTTGTGACCCCATTTTTTTCTTTGAGACAGGGTCTCCCTGTAGTCCCAGCTGGCCTGGAACTCACTATGTAGACCAGGGTGGCCTTGAACTCACAGAGATCCACCTGACTCTGCCTCCCGAGTGCTGGGATTAAAGGCGTGCATCACCATGCCTGGCTTATGACCCCAATTTTGTCTCTAACAACTTGGGAGCCTGTCCTGGGATCCTAGCCCTCCTAAGGGGGTATTTAGATCCCCCTCCTGGGGAGATGCATCTCATGCATTTTTGTAGTGGCTCCTGGGTGCCAGGTCTTTGGCGTCTCCCAAGGTTGGAGAAGAGACCTAGGACTGTGAGGGTTTCTTAACAATGTGGGGCGTGGTGGTGGTGCAAATAAGCACCATGGGGATCAGGAAATTTTCTGCACAAGTCAAGGCAAGAACCACCATAGGGAATGGCAAAGTGCTCTTTGGTGGTTGAGTCTTCCTAGAGGTTAAATGTAGAGTTTTATAGGTGCCCTTGGTGACTTCATTTGGCTTTCTGGCAGTCTTTTTCCAGTGAGAGCTTTGTACTGACCTGCTTCATGCTAAGAAGCACCAAACATAGGCACTGCCCTGCGAGGGAATTGGTTGGAGCCAAATGAAGTGTTCTAAATCAGGGTGCAAAAAACCTCCATCCTGGGGGGGGGGCAGTTAGCCTCCGATTGGCAGTCAGAACATAAGAAACCTCCATTGGAATGGAGGTGGTTTGGACTTCTGATAAACTTATTCTCATGAAACCAGGATGGGAAACAATTTGGGTTTGAAAAATAAAAGCTCTAAAAATGTAACTAAAAATAAAATCCACCCCGACCCCATAGCCCTCTTGGGCAGACTATGCCCACACCAAAGGCAAATGTAAAGTATTGCTGCTGTATTTGGAGCTGATCCTTAAATTCTATCTTTTGGCCCCAATTTGGCTAGATGATGATTGGGTCTGCCAGCTTTGAACTGAACGTGTGAATTCAAAAAGCCCTGTCTCACAAGAGGAGATGGATTATGGCTTCTGTTGAAGCAAAAGTCCTCTAACCTTACTCTCTTTGAAACAGAACATAAAGAAAACCATAAATATGAACAAGAACATGAATGGGGCCCCTCAATTGTTTATCCCATCCTATAATCCAGACCAGGTTCCTGACCCTTTAGATCCACCTGACACAGCAGCTGCTGCTCTCTTCCTCTCTCTCTTTCTCAGTCATACAAAACCCTGTGGACAGAACCTGTGTTGGACCCCACAGATATTGGCTCTCAAATTAGACCTCCATCACTCACTAAACTCCAAAAAGATACTAAACAATATAAGAGAGAAATTGAGGGTTGAGCATAGTGGCACATGCCTTTAATCCCAGCACTCGGTAGGCAGAAGCAGGTGGATCTCTGTAAGATTGAGGCCAGTGAGGTCCAGGTCAACTGGGGCTACAGGGAGACCCTGTCTCAAAGAGAGAGAGAGAGAGAGAGAGAGAGAGAGAGAGAGAGAGAGAGAGAGAATATGAATCTCTCATTCCAAGTCCCCAAAGAAATGCAACCCCAACAGCCTGAGACCCCTCCCTAAGTAACTAATATACCTACTTAGAGAAGTTTCCCCAAGGGAAGGAGGAAAGGAGGAATTGGATTTGGGACTGTACTCCTTACTAGTTCTGAAGTTAGAAATCTTAAAACAATTTGAGCCTCTTTTAGGGACCCTTTTAGGGTGGAAGACCAATTACAACAGTTCTTGGGATCCCAACTTTTATAGTTGGGCCAAATTATGTCTATCCTGAGTATTCTATTTTCAGGAGAAGAAAGGATGGTGATTAGAAGAGCCATGGTAGCCATCTGGGAATGACAACACCCAGCTGGTCCTGGGGTCCTGGCACTAGAAGCTAAATTCCCTAGTTGAGAGCCCCAGCGATTCAATAATAACAAAGCCCAACAAGAACTGATCCCTTGGTCCCAAAATATCAACAAAGGCTTTTAATATTCAGCAAGGGAAAAATTAAGAACAAACAAAATTTCTAGACAGATTAAAGGACCAGATGAGAAAATAACTCCAGACAGGATGTGCTGGATAGCTTCAGCTGTCAACTTGACATACCTGGAAGAAGGAACCTCAACTGAGGAATTTCCTCCATTGGATTGTCCTGTGGGCAGGCTGGGGGGACATTATCTTGATTATTGAGTGATGTTGGAGGGCCCAGCCCATTGTGAGCAGTGCTACCCCTTGGTATGTGGTCTTGTATTGTATAAGAAAGCAGGCTGAGCATAGGCCAGGGGAGGAAGCCAGTAAGAAGCATTACTCTATGGTCTGTGCTCCTGTCTCCAGGTTCCTGCCCTCAGTTCCTGCCTAGACTTCCTTCATTAATGAACTGTGACCTGGGAGATGTAAGATAAAATAAACTCATTCCTCCCCAAGTTGGTTTTGGTTAGTAGTTCATCACGGAAATAGAAAGCAAACTAGGACACAGGACTTGCAGGATCTCCTTATTCATGGAGTGTTTAAATTACATTTTGTAACAATAGTTGGCCAGATAGTTCCAAGAAATTGCAAAACATAAAAACTGGAAATGTAAAGGGTTAGAAGAATTGTTCAGAGAAAATAAAAAAGTGTACGTAAGAAGGGATGAAGAAAAACAGAAACAAAAAGCTAAACCCATGTTTTCCATCTTGGGGCAAGTGCCTCAAAGAAGGGAATGAGGCTCTGGGTCCCAACAAAGACAGGTCCCCAAGGAAGCCCATCCTGAAAGGGGAGGAGCAGTAGAAAGAGAAATAACAAGAGGGAATGGAGAAAACAAATGTTCCCAGAATGAAGAAAGGAAGGAAAGATAATTCTGCTCATGTATTTTGATGAAGAACAAGGAGTCAAAGGCTCTACTCTACTACTAAGACCTACTGGGAACCTTTAGTAAACTTAAAGGTAGGGCCAACGGAGGAGAAAACAACATTCTTTATTGACTTGGGCATCCCACTCTCCATTTTGTGTGTATATGACTCCCAGGGATGTGTCTTTCCCAAGAATGATTTGTAGTAATTGGGTAAAGAGACAGGGATTTTCAGCTGCCCTCTTTGAGAAAAACCCCAATTAAATTCCAATACAGGGAGATTTTTAGCACAATTTCTTTTTGTCCCTGGAAACCGGGACTAACCTGTTAGGGAGGGATCTGATGTCCAAATTAAAGATTGGACTTAATATAATACAGGACAAAATCAAAGTCTCTCTCAAACTTGTGATCCCCACCCTGGGGCTAAGAGGCAAATTAAACCCACTGTTTGGGCCCAAGAAGGCAATTGAGGTGGCTTACAGGTGAAAAGCCATTTCATTTATTTGTCAGTGTTTGTAAAGGGACAGTTCTTAGGGTCCTGACCTGAGAACAAGGACACTGACAACCTGTAGCATATTTAGCCAAACTATTTGACCTATTTACCTGGGGCTGGCTGAAATGTATACAATCAGTAGTTACTACCTCTCTCTTAACTGAAGAAAGTGAAAAATTAACCTTTAGGGAGTAACTAATATCAGTACTCCCCATCAGGTGCAAGTTATCCTATACCAAAGAGTGGGAAGATGGATCACAGATTCTCAGATTTTGAAATATGAGGCCATCCTATTAGAGAAAAATGACTTGGGTCCCTGAATCCAGCTGCATTTTTAACTGGAAGTCATAAGACTACACAGGAAATTCAACACCGTTGTTTAGACATTATAGAATATGAAACTAAGGTTTGACCCTACCTAAGAGAAACTCTTTAAAACTGGACTTAGGCTCTCTATAGATGGATCTTCTAGGATGATTGAAGTCAAGAGACATAATGGGTGTGATACAGTGGATGGGAAGAGAGGATCTCATCACTACAGAATCAGGGAGATTACCAAATATGACTGTTTATCACAGACTTATGAATTATTTGTATTATATCATGTTCTAAAACATCTTAATGGTAAAGAGGGATCTATACTGATTCCAAATATGCTTTTGGTATAATACATACATTTGATATAATCTGGGCTGAATGGGGTCTAATTAACAATAAAGGACAAAGCCTTGTCCACAAGGAACTTACAGCTCAGATTCTAGTCAATTTAATACTGTTTGAAGAGATTGCACTAGGGGCTGGAAAGGTGGCTCAGTGGTTAAGAGCACTGGTTGCTCCTCAGAGGAACCGGGTTTGGATCCTAGCACCCACAGGGTGGCTAACAACCATCTGTAATTCTAGTGTCAGGGGATCCATCACTCTCTTCTTACCTCTGTGGTCATTGCATGAGACAGGTGCAACTTATGTACATACAGGTAAAACACTCATACACATAAAATAAAATTTAAAAAAAGAGAGAGAGATTGTAGTAGTACATGTCCCTGGGCATCAAAGGGAGTTTACCACTGCAGATAAGGGTAATGATTTAGTAGATGAAGTCTCCAAGAGGGCTGCCATAAAAAAAGAGGTTCCTCTTTCCGGTCTCACACCTGCTATTCCTCCTATCCTAAATCCTCCACAATTTATGCTCAGGGGAGGGAGGAAAAACAATTGACAAAGCAGGAGCCTCCAAAGGTGAGGATTGACTATAAGTCCTAACAGATGAACAGGGGAAATGCTATCTAAACTTCTTATGTATGAACTATTACACCATCTCAGAGCAGTCTTTGGGACCCTCAAGCCATGTGTAATGGGAACTTTAGAATTTACAGGTGTATGGGCATTTATGCAAGTGCATCTTACTTGCTCTAAAATAAAGCAACAAGCCTTGAGGTGGCAGCCTCCTGGAGGGAGAATCCAGGGTTAAGACCAAAATGGGGCTGGAGAGATGGCTTAGCAGTTAAGAACACTGACTGCTCTTACAGGGGAGCTGGGTTCGATTCCTAGTACCTCCATGGTGGCTAACAATAGTCTGTAACTCCAGTTCTAGGGAATCTGACACCCTGTTCTGACCTCAACAGGCTTTGCATGGCATGCGTGCACTTACATTCACTCAGGCAATACGTTCGTACATATAAAATAAAAATAATAAATAAAATATTTTAAAAATGTACAGGCTGGAGAGATGGCTCAGCAGTTAAGAGCACTGACTGCTCTTGCAGAGGACCCAGGTTTGATTCCCAGCACCCACATGCAGCTACGAACCATCCTTAACTCCAGTTCCAGGGGAATCCGAAGCCCTCTTCTGACCTCCACAACACTGCATGACACGGGTGTACTCACATACATGCAGGCAATACACTCATACACATGTTTTTAAATAATGCTAAAATTTGAAGAAAAGAGATTGATGGTATAATAAAGAGGGTAGAATAGAGGGGAATAATTATAAGGAATTTAAATATTTTCTAGAAGAATGATCACAGGGATATAACCTTGGTAATGCTATTTTTAATCCCCCCAACACCTTGTGGGGGGATTTATTTTACAATAAAATTTACAATTGTAAAATTGTAAAATTTTTGTTTATGCAAAGGCCCTGCTGTATTCCCAGGACTTGATGGCCTACAGGGGCCAACTCTTTCCCCTTTGCCTTCATCTCCTTTGCACCAATTATTTTATTTTATTTTAAATATTTATATATATGAGTGCTTGACCTGCATGAATATAAAGTGCAGTGTCTGAGGAGGCCGAAGAGGGATTTGGATTATGGATAGTTGACAGGCACCATGTGGCTTCTGGGAACCAAAGCCTGGTCCTCTGCAAGGGTGGCAAATGCTCTAAACCACTGAGCCATTTCATTTCTCCAGCCCCAACACCAATTATTTTAAAGGTAGCCAACCATGAAAGACTGTGAGGTCAGATCCCAGCCTATGGGGAAAAGACATAGTACTGCTGAGTTGGCATAAAAACCTACCAAATTTTCTCTCTAGGTTCAGTTCCCAGCACCCACATGGCAGCTAACAGTGGCCTGGTAACTCCAGTTCCAGGGAATTCACACGCCACAGATGCACTTACAAACATGTGGGCAATACACTCATACACATAAATAAATAAAATATTTTTTAAAACATGTTATAGGGTTGGCAGAAAAGAATGGAGAGAAACTGCTCTTCAGATAACAGATGGCCACGGTGGGGCCCTGCAGAGAGAGACTTCAGTTTCCAAACATCTCAGAAGTCCCTGGCTCTTTCTTACACATTTCTTGGATGGGGCCTGGGGCTGGAGGGAGGCTGGGGAGGTGGAGGTGGGCGTTTACAGCCTGTGGCCTTTGTGCCAGGAGTTAGGAAAGCAGACTCTAGTGACTGAAGGCTGATTATGGCGGAAGCTTCCAAGACTCAGGGGTGACCGCCTGAGCTCAGGCACCCTGGGGTACCGTCAGCCTTCATGGCACAAGCAGCGGGAACTCACCGCAGTGAAGTGAGGCCAGGTGCTCAGCAGACTGAAGAGCGCGTTCCCAGGGCAGTCGCTGTGCACCAGCTGGCGGTGGCCCAGCAGCTTGTAGTCTGGCCGCAGTAGGCCCGCGCGTATCCCGCAGCTCGGGAGCAGGTCGCGCACTGTGAGCAGGGCCGCCTCGCTGGGCAGAGTCCCGGTGTAGTTGCCCACAAAGGCCACACCGAAGCCGCGGGAGTTGTGGCGGAGCGTGTGTGCGCCCACCCAGTGCCAGCCTCGGCCCTCGTACACGTAGCCGTCGGAGCCCACCACGAAACTGCACAGAGCAGTGGGGAAGAGGGGCATCAGGTGGGTGAGTGGCCACACTCCTTACTTGACCATGTCCCCAGATTCTGTCCCTGTACGGTCTGCCCCAAGTGGAATGCTCTGCCTCTGTACCTTCCAGTTCGGCAGCATTCGCACACCGATTGTTGCCTAGTGTCGTGGAGTATGCCTTTATCAGGGCACTTGGAAGCTAGAGGCAGACTGATCTTTGTAAGTTCGAGGCTAGCCCGGTCTACATAGCGAGTTCCAGCCCATCCAAGGCTACATAATGAGACCCTGTCTATAAATAATAAATAAATAATAAATAAATAAATAAATAAATAAATGCCGGCTTCTTTCAGAATCCACCCTAACCACTGACCACACCCACTCTCCTTCCCCAAGCGGGTTTTCCAGTCTCTTGCTGTTACAGTTCACCGCTATCCCAGACCTTGCCCTGTTCTTACTTGGCCCTGCCCACCATAAACCCTTCACCTCACTTGTTAACGCCGGGCCTCCAGCCCCGCCTTTGCCCACCTGTAGCCGATGTCATTCCAGCCTCGGGTGTCCTGGTGGAAACGCTGCATGGAGCGCATGTCCGCCTCACAGAGCGCGAAGGTGGTACAAGGCAGCGATGGCACGTACGTGTGATGCACATATAAGAACCCGAGCGGTAGCCTGAGTGGTGTCGGGCGGCCCCGATAAGGCGCTGCTCCCCAGCGGCAGCGCGGGTGGATAGGCGGGCATCCTGCCGAGGCGAAGGAGTACCAGATCATCAAGCATCTCCTGCTGGCAGATTGCACGCCCATTAAAGTGCACCTGCGGGACATCCTTCGGGCCTCCCGGATTTGGCAAGACTCCAGTTTTGGGTTGGCCAGATGGCTCAGCAAGCACACACAAAATGAATGAAGGAAGGAAGGAGGATTGCAAGTTCAAGACCAGCCTGAGCTACACACAACTTGTCTAAATAAATAAATATTATCCCCCATCCTTCTGTGTTGAGTTCTAATTGTGTTCTACTTCTTGTTTGTTTGTTTTGGGTGTGTGTGTGTAGGGGTGCAGGGTCTCATGTAGTCCAGGCTGGCCTTGGTATGTATCACAGGATGATCTTGAATGCCTGATCCTCCTGCCTCTGCCTCTCAAGTGCTGGGATTACAGGTGTATACCATCACATTTGATGTGGTGCTGGGGATTGAACCCAGGACCTTGTACATGTTAGACAAGCACTCTACCAATTGAGCCGCACCCCCAATCTCTCTCTTTATTTAAAATTTTAAATCAGATGAACTTGTATTTATTCTTCAAGGACCAACTTTAGCACTTTTTCATCTGTGTAGTGATCTACAGCCCTTTCTGTCCCCTCTGGATTCCCTGGGCCCTGGATCCCCCTGACTACATGGGGCCGGTGTTGTCTGTTAATTGGGGAACTTCTTACCCAAGAAGGCTTCGGTGAACTCCTTGCTGGCATAAGTAGCCACCTGAGCCAACTGTTCTTGGCTCATGTTCTTCAACTGGGGATGTCCCAGTTCCAGCTTCTGTAGCAGGACAAGGGCCCCCCACACCTGCTGGGCCAGAGTGAGGGCTGAAGTCACAGAAGCCCCATTTCGCCTTCTGAAGTTACTGCGAAACTCTGGATCTCCAGCCACTCCAGCTCCGTAGTACTGTCTCAGCAGATGGCTGAGGGGTGGGTGGGGCTTATGAATCTGGTTCAAGTGGTCTGCAAGGAGTGCTCCATCCAAGGCACCATTGAGGAAAGCCATGGTGAGTCTGGATGCTTTGGGGTTCAACAATGTGAAGACCCTGGGAGCAGAGAGTTGGTCCCAGCAGCCCTCAGTTCCCAGGCCTGGAGGACTCCGAGTCTGGGGGCTGTGGAAGAAAGGCAGACTCAAGTCTCCAGCCAGGGTGATCGCCAGGAGTCTCTCCACAATGGTGGAGGCCTTGGTTTTGCCATTTGGTAAAGTGGCTCCAACATCTGGGATGGAGGCATCTGGGGAGGCATTTCTGAGTCCTGGCCAGATGGCTCCAACATCTGGCAAGTCGTCTCCAGCATCACAAGGGGTGGCCAGGCAGTTCAAAGGCAAGTCCACCACTCTGTGCCCTTGTAGCCCAGCCTCCAGCCCCACTAGCAGAGGCTGCACAGCCACCGTGGAGCCATCAGGTGCCAGCACAACTCCATATTCCTGCCCATCTCGTACATCATGTTGGGCCACCTCAGAAATCAGGTCTTGAATCTCTGGGCTCAGTGGGTGAGGACCTAGCTCCGTAGCTTTGTGGTTTTCTGTCTTCAGCAGCAAGTGGCGGTGAAGCGGATTGTGGAGGCTGGAGTCCTGGGCTGACAGTATCCATGCAGAGGCAGTTCCATTGACCTGGGTCACCAGTATCTTCTGCTCAAGCTCAGTCAGGGCCTGAATAATGAAGTCCATGACCAGGGGCAAGGAGGCTATGGGAGGAGAGAAGTCAGCCAGTAACAGCCTCACCTGTCCCAGGGACTCCCCCTGCTCATTTCACATCTTCCCAGTGCCCCTACTTCTCTCTCTGCCCAGCATCACTGTTGTGTAGAGGAGGAACCTGAGGCACCCAGACTATCGCCTGTTGCCCAAAGAGGCTGGACTATCTGTGAGCTCTGGGGGAGCCATGGCAGGATTATGAACAGGAGAGAGGTATGGACAGGCTGGTGTTCAAAGACTGATCTTTTGGCTACTATGTTGAAATGGATTTTCAAGGTACTAGACTAGAGAAGGGCAGACATGATATAGGCGAGTGAGAAAGGTGGCTGATGCTAAGCTGTTGGCAATGTGATGAATGACAGCAGGGAGGGTATTTACATATATAGGGGTAAAGAAAGACCATTGAAATGATTTTATTTTTTATAATAACAATATCATATATTTTAAAAATTATTTTTATTATTTTATATGTATGAGTGTATTGCCTGCATGTATGTGAGTGCACTCATGTCGTGCAATGCCCTGGAAGTCAGAAGAGAACTTCAGATTCCCCTGGAACTAGAGTTAAGGATGGTTCGTAGCCACCATGTGGGTGCTTGGAATTGAACTCGGCTCCTCTGCAAGAGCGGTCAGTGCTCTTAATCGTTGAGCCATCTCTCCAGCCCCAATATATTTTAATTTTTAATCTTACGTATATGAGTGTTTTGCCTGCATGTAAGTGCACTGTGTGTGCAATGCTTGCAGAAGCCAGAAAAGAGAGTCAGATACCCCTGAAACTGGAATTGTGGATGGTTATTAATCTCCATTTGGGTGCTGGGAACTGAACCTGGCTCTGTTGCAAGAGTATCCAGTGCTCTTAACAGCTAAGTTATCTCTTCAGCCCCTAATTTTTTTGGAGGGGTGGTCTTTTTGAGACAGTCTCCCTGTAGCTGCAGCTGACCTGGAGCTCACTATGTAGACCAGGATGGCCTTGAACTCACAGAGAGTGAGTTCTGCCTCCCAAGTGCTGGGATTAAAGGCGTGTGCCACTATGCCAGCTCCTAATTTTTATTTTTAATTATGTGTATATATGTGTGTCTCTGTGTATGTCTGTGCACATGAGTGCAGATATCCCTGGAGGTCAAGAGAGGGTGTTGGAGCTCCTGGAGCTAGAGTTACAGGTGGTTGCGAGCTGCCCTGTGTGGACGCTGGGAACTGAATTCAGGTTCTTTGCAAGAGCAGTACACACTCTTAACCCCTTAGCCATCTCTCCAGCCCACACAGACATTTCTGTTTATCTGATTAGAGTTAGCAATTTTAGAGGGAACAATATACGGAGGGTGCCCAAGTGTTGTGTAGCAATTTCCAAGTTGAGGCTCCTTAAGACTCAGGAAATGAACAAAATTTGAAGTCTTGGGAAGCTCCTAAAATTTACAAGATTCACAAAATTCCCCCAGGGAACACAAGTAATAGCAATTGCAGGGAAAAGGGGAGACTCCAACCAGCCAAGCCAAGTGGCATACAGAGCTCCAGGGATGTAGCTTTTGTAAGTCAGAATCCAGGCTGGGGTGGGTTTTTTGATGATGTATCTGCCCTGAGTCACTTATGCTCCTAAGCATCACAGACAAACTCAGTTTCACTAAGCTAGACTAGGGTGGAATCATTTCTTTGGTCTGTCATTAGTGTCCTATCTGGGGTAAATATCTATTTGATTGTCTCCCTAGGAATATTCTCACAACACCAAGGAGGCTGAGCATGGTGGCTCATGTCTATAAACCTAGCACTTGAAAAGCTGAGGCAGGAGGGTACCACATGTCCAAGCCTAGCCCAAGCTATATAGTGAATTCCAGGCCATCCTGGACTACAGAGACTCTGTCTCAAACAAACAAACAAACAAACAAACAAACAAACAAACAAACTCACTCCCGGGGGGGAGGGAAGGTTTTTCCCTTTTCAAGGAAGGGGAATTTAGAAGTGTTAGGTTACCTGGCCCACAGCTAGGTTGTTGAATAATTGCCAATGCTTATTAAACATTTACCATGTGCCAACATCACTGTAGGTGACTTATGTAACTTAATCCTCACAAAACATTTTAAGGTAGGTCTCATTAGCTCTCTTTTACAGAAACAGAGAGGTCAAGTTAGCTGCCTAAGGTTACATGGCTAAGGGGCTGGAGAAAGATGGTTCAGGAGTTAAGAGCCCTGGCTGCTCTTGTGGAGGGCCCAGGTTTAGGTCCCCCTCTTCTGGGATCCATAAGCATTGCATGCATGGGTGGATTTACATACATGCAGGAAAAAAAATTCATACAAGTGAATAAATAAATGAATAAATAAATAAATTTAAAGTACATGACTATGAAGTGGCAGAGGTAGGATTTGAACCTAGAAAGCGGGGTGTTTTGTTTTGTCTGAGATGGGCTTGCTATCTAGTGCAGACTGGCTTCTAACTCACAAGGTAGCCCCGGTTGACCTCAAACTCACTGTTTTCCTACATTGGTGTCCCAGATTCTGAGATTACAGGTATGTGTCACTACACCCAACACCTCTCACCTCCTGGACATTTTAATCCCTACCCCCTGACGTGTCAAATCTGTATTCTTCCCTAGGCAAGAATCTTTTCTGCCTAAAATACCCTGTCTTGCTTGCATCTTCACCAAACCCAGTTCTCCTTCCTCCCATCCTAGTTCTATGACTCCCTCTTCCAGGAAGCTACTGCTAATTTTTTCTCTCCAGGTCACAGGCCGCAGATCTTACCCCTGCCACCCAAACCTTGATTCCATGGGACTGGGAACTTGTGAATCCCAAGGTTGGCAGTTTGTTGAGAGCTAGGGCTTTGCACACAGCAAGTCCCTCGCGCCTTCTGGGGCCTCTGCTTTCTTACTCACCTGTCCTTGGTTCCAACCACAGCAGCAATCCAAGCAGGACCCAGAGAACACCCTGTGACTTCATTGTGCAGCTCCAGCTTGCACCGGGCAGGCCCAGTTGACCTAAGCAGAGAACCTCAAGGTACTGGAAGGAGACAGTCGTGAGAATTGAACTAGTCCTATCAAAGTCCACCAGGATGTACTCTGGGGGTGGAAAGCATTGAACATAGCAGTAGAACGCCTGGGTCAAGGTTACTGGGCCTAAAGTTCTCCTCTATGTCATCCTGTCCCCGCCCAGAATGACATGAAGGGTCAATAAGACAGGTCTATGCCAAGAGAAGCCCAGAGACTGAGTAGCTCAAACTCTAGCAAATATTGCCCACTAAAACTTGTATTTAGCTGGGTCTGGTGGCATACCTCTAATCCCAGCACTTGGGAGGCGGAGGCAGGCAGATCTCTATGAGTTAGAGACCAACCTGATCTACATAGGGAGTTCTAGGCTAGTTGTAGCTACAGCTGTGGCTAACCCTATCTCAAAAATCCCCAAATTTGTATTTAACTAATTAACTTTTTATTTATTTATTTATTTATTTATTTATTTATTTATTTATTTATTTTTGTCTCTTTGAGACAAGGTCTCCCTGTAGCCGCAGCTGGTCTAGAACTCACTGTGTAGACCAGATCTTATTATATTTTATTTGTTTTGATATTTTATATTTATTTATTTATTTTTATTTTGTGTTTTGCCTGTATGTATGTAAGCACACCTATTTTCCGAAAAGCTCATGGAGACCAGAAGAGGGTGTCAGATCCCCTGGAATTGGTGTTACAGACATTGTTGATCACCATTTGGGTTCTGGGAACATAACACTGGTTAACTGGAAGAGCAGTCACTGTTCTTAACCATGGAACCATCTCTCTAGACCTTTGCTTTGATATTTAAAAAACATTTTATTGGGCTTTGAAGCTCCTTTGGTGAGACTCCCTAACACCCTGCCATATTATCTCTTAGACTTCCCTGGGTCACAGGGATCCTCCCCTTCTCCAGATTTGCAGTTTGGAGCGTTCTCCCTGATACCTTCTTGCAGCCAGCCCCATCTGAGCTCTGTTTTCCCAAGTTCTATGAACTCCCACCCTAACCTACTGTCCAACCTGCACCTGTAGCAACTCCATCTCAACCTGCTGATCCAGAACCCTGTGACATCAATCTTGAAATTGCAACTCAGAAGTTGCACCTCTCTCGCTGTTCCACAGTTCACATTTACTCTGCTTAGTTAGTTAGACCCTCCTATGCTGTCCCTATCCCTGCCTTGGGCTTAAGGCCCTTCCTGATCCTCCTGCCTGAGAGCTCTGGACTAGTCTGAGAGAAACTGGTCATAGTCTAGAATTGGGCCTAGGCCCTTTTGCCCTGCTTGAGAGTTCTTAATTAATCAGCCTGGAACCAAATAATATGAAATTTTTTTAAAAAAAGGAATAGAATATGCAGGAATATGGGACACCAGGAAAAGACCAAATCTATGCATCATAGACATAAAGGAAGAAGGAGACCCTTGGGTCAATGGCATTGACCAAATCTGCAACAGGATTATAGAAGCAAACTTCCCTAAATTAAGGAAAGACACAGAACACCAATTATAGATCACTAGAACAGAAACTCCCAAAGGCATCTCTTAGTAAAAACACTAAATGTACAGAACAAAGAGAGGGTACTGAAAGCTGTAAGAGGAAAACAAATAGTTACACATATAAAGTCCATCAGAATTACATCTGACTTTTCAATGCAAACTATAAAAGCTAGAAAACCCTGGAGCAAAGTATTTCAAGTTCTAATGACCACAGATGCCAACCCAGAATGCTTTACCCAGCAAAACTATTTATCATAGTTGAAGGAGAAAGAATAATCTTCCATGATACAAATGAACCAAAAGAATTCGTGTACACCAAACCAGCCCTACAGAGAATACACAAGGAATTTCAAAGGACTGAAGAAAGAAATGATCATACTCAAGAGGTTACAGAAAGAAAACAAGTGAAGGTATAAAGTACAGGAACACAAAATAAGACTAAGAACACAAACAGAAAATAAAATGACAGTAACCAATATACAACTTTCAACAATAACTCTAAATATCAATGGCCTCAACTTCCCAATCAAAAGACACAGACTAATTGAATGTATTAAGAAACAAAATCCATCTATTTGTTGTCTACAAGAAACTCATCTTAGCTCCAATGATATTCACATTAGGTGAAAGAATGGCAAAAAATATTCCAAGCAAATGTCACTAAGTAACAAGCATGAGTTTCTATTCTATCATCTGATAAAAATAGACTTCAAGTTGAAATTCTACCCAAACGCCAAAGAATACACATTCTACTCAGCAGCTTATGAAAATTTCTCTAAAATAAACCACATACTGATACAAAAAAAGAAGAAATAATTCCATGTATTCTATCAAACCACAATGCAATAAAGCTTAAAATAAACAGCAAAGCCAGCATGGTGGCACATTCCTTTAAACCCAAAGCTCAGGAGGCAGAGGCAGGTGTGTTGAAGAGGTTGGCGGAAAGAATGTAAGACCTGGAGGAAGGGGTGGAGTGTTACCTGGAAGTTTCCTCCAACCACTATGCTGGCAAGTTATAGTCACACCTCCTTCCCATGCTCATCAAGGAGTCAAGGGGGGAGTCAGTTAACCCTTCTACACAATCAGTCGACCTTAGCTGCATGTGGTGGAGGGGTTAAGGATATATAAGCCGAGAACACCATGAGGCACCTCTCTCACCATTTTGTGTGACTGTCAGGAAGTCACAGGATCTATATCCGGGTGTGGACTCTCCAGTACAGCCATAAATGAGGTGTGTGTGGGGGACGCCCACTCCTCTGTAAATAAACCCCCACCCTACACTCTGTTAGCAAGCCCGACAAACTAGTTAGGATTAAAAAAAAACAAAACAAAAAACAGAAGAACAGAGCTAATGGAAACCTTTATTATTCCACCAAAGTTGACCCCATGTTGGCAAATCCTTTGGTCTTTGATTTTTTTTTTTTTTTTGGCCTTTTTGAGACAGGATCTCCCTGTGGCCCCAGCTGGGCTGGAGCGTCCTGAGCAGACGGGGCTGGCCTCAAACTCACAGAGATCTTCTGGGCTCTGTCTCCCTTGATTTTTGATTTCTTATCCCTACTTTTCCACCCTTAAACTTCATTTTATATATATATATATGTAACCTGCTTCAAGTTATTTCTGAAAAAATGTGTTAAAAATTGCCCCTCTTTGGAATAATAAAAATATTCTTTAAAAAAACCCAGAAAGACCACAAGTAAATGATAAAACAGTATAACTCAAGAATTTTTATTTATTTATTTATTCAATTGAATTAACTAATTTATTTATTTATTTATTTTTTGTGTCCTGGAACTCACTATGTAGACCAGGCTGGCCTTGAACTCACAGAGATCCTCCTGCCTCTGCCTCCCAAGTGCTGGGACTACAGGTGTGTGCCACCACACCCAGCTGAATTTTTTATTTTTTATTTATTTTTTATCTTTTTGAGGCAAGGTCTCCCTATAGCCCCAGTTGGCCTAGAGCCCACTATGTAGACCAGGCTGGCCTCACAGAGATCCACCTGCTTCTGCCTCCTAAGTGCTGTGATTAAAAGTGTGTGCCACCATACCCGACTAAGAGCTGGTTCTTTGGAAAAGATAAACAAATGCTGGGCTTGGTGGCACATGCCTTTAATCCCAGCACTAGGGACACAGAGGCAGGGATCTCTGTGAGTTCGAGGGCAGCCTGGTTTACATAGCAAGTGCCAGGCTAGCTGGGGCCACAGGGAGACCTTGTCTCAAAAAGACCAAAAAAGAAAAGAAAAGATAAACAAAATAGACTCTTATCCCAGTTACCCAAGAGAAAGAAAAAAATCCAAATTAACAAAATCAGAGATGAAAGGGGAAACATTAAAACAGACACCAAAAAGATCCAGAACATTCTGTATGAGGGAATAATTAAAAAACTTATACTCTATTAAATTAGAAAATCTAAAAGAAATGGATGAATTTCTAAATTCAATGGACCCACCAAAGTTAAACCAAGAAGTGATCAACAGTTTAAACAGACCCATAACAAATAAGGAAATCAAATCAGCACTACAAAGTATTCCCACTAAAAAAATCCCAGGCCCAGATGGATTTACAACAGAATTTTACCAGATCATCAGAGAATATCTATAACCAATGCTACTTAAATTATTCGAAAAACACCGAAACTGAGGAAGAACCCCCAAAATCCTTCTATGAAGCCAGTATTACTCTAATACCCAAACCAGGTAAAGACAAAACAAACAAACAAAAAAACTAAAGACCCATATTCCCTAATGAACATAGATGCAAAAATTCTCAACAAAATCCCCCCAAACAGCATATAGACCCACATAAAACAGATCATCTACCATAATCAAGTTGACTTTATTCCAGAGATGTAGGGATGATTCAATAAATGTAAGTCAAGAGATGTAATAAATCATGTAAATGAACTTAAAGACAAAATCAAAATGAACTTAAGACAAAAATCATAATATCTTCTCAATAGATGCAGAAAAGGCCTTTGATAAAAATCCAACATTCATTTATGATAAAAGTCTTAGAGGAAATTGGACTGGCAGAAACATACCTGACATAATTAAAACTGTATATAACAAACTCACAGCCAGTATCATTCTAAATGGAGAAAAACTGGCAGCATTCCCATTGAAACCAGGAACCAGACAAGGCTATCCACTAGTCCCATTCCCTTTCAGTATAATGCTTGAAACTCTTACTAGGAGCAATAAAACAAGAGAAGGAAATCAAAGGCGTACTAATTAGAAAATAAGTCAAATTATCCCTATTTGAAGATGACATTATACATAAAGTGAGAGATTGCAAAAATTCCACCAGAAAACTTCTAGAAATGATCAACACTTTCAGCAAAGTGGCAGGATACAAAATCAATTTACAAAAGTTAGCAGCCTTTCTAAATACCAGTAACAAGCAATTAGAGAAAATGTTTATAATGTTAAGGTTCAGATAGCCCCACCCCCCTCACCAACAGGATCCCAAGGACTTCTCATGCTCCTGAGAAAAGGGAAGCATTCCCATTGAAATCAGGAACCAGACAAGGATGTCCACTATCTCCACTTCTCTTTAACATAGTGCTTGACACTCTTGCAAGAG